TAGAAATCATCTTCATCGACTCAAGGAGTGTTTGCTGGTCCTGAAGAGCGAGCGCCATGTCCAGCTGCTCCATCTCCTCCAACAGACCAATTAGACTCTCATAAGAGGTGTAGTTCAAGCAGCTGACAGGCCACCTATTCCACTCCATAGTGCAGCAGACGACTCCAGCTGGACACACATCCAAGTGCGCGGACATCTGACTGCGGATCAGCATAGCCGGGCAGCCATGGCCACTATTAAGGCAAGGAACCTTCATGAGGGGGCACAAGAGTTGGTGCTCATCAACTTTGCAGGAGTGGAGCACGGCCCCACACACCAATGGACAGGCGATGAGATCACAGGAGACTCCTGGTTCAGGTTTGACCGTGCACCTCTGGTTAAAACAGGAGATGCAGTGAACATGATGCTCCATCTTCAGAGCCAAGGTCATGGAGTGGTATGGGCGCCTCTGTAGGAAAATACAAAGAGACAATAAAGCTTTGTGTAAATGTTTTAGAAATACAAAGAGACAAAGGCAATAAAAAGCAGGCTAGAAATATCATCACTGCTGTGAGACAGTTCATATTTACTGGCATGTTTTGAATATGTTGGTACACATTTTATTGAAACAAAAGTGCAAAAAGTAAAACAAAAAACACACAAATAAATGACATTATAGGATATAAAAAATAAAGCCAAATAACGATGTCTTTAATTTTGAGGGAAAAAAAAGTTTAGCTATTTTTCAGTAGACTTGAATGTTTCTCTACATCTTTAGAAAAGTTCATATCTATCTGACCTTAAAGAAAAGAATTAAGGACTTCTGGAAATAATTTATTATCTTATAATGGGATCGGTGATTAAATACGCACATATGATCACAACTGAGGCATTACTCAGAGAGGAGCTAGTTCAATCACCAGGAAAGGTTTAACTAAACTTAAACTATCAACTCTGTAGAAAAGTTTCGAGTATTATAATATATTATATATTTTCGGTCATCTGTACAGTTTTTTCCCCCCGATCCTACATGCTACAATAAGCCATTATGTTGTCATTGGTCAGTTTCTGAGTAAGAACACTTAGTATTGTAGCAACAGGCGGCTAGCTAAAGCTAGGACAGAGCTCTGCTAATGGCTAAAAACAGCTAGCTCAGACGGAAGTTGAACAGTTCACAACAAAACAAACTTTTGGTCAAATTATGTATTTGCGTTCCAGGTGTTTCTCACCTGTGTGTTGTGCTGACAGGAAAACCGTGTTACGACGTGTTTTATCTGTTCTAAATTAATGCGACAAGACCAGTGTATTAATCATAGTTGCCTCTGGGAAGAAACTGCTAAAGATAGCTAGCCACTCTCAGTCCATCTCTTAACAGCTCTTTTTTTTTTTTTTTTTTTACTTTCCAAAACTTTATTTCTTCTTCTTGCCTCAGACTGTTGTTCCTCTTCTTCGGAGGCAACGTCTTTGTGCATCAGTGCCATCTGCTGGAATGAATCAGACACACACTCAACACCAAATAATAATAATAATAATAATGATAATAATAACAGTAATAACAATAATAATAAAATAATAATTGAACTATATCGATGTCAATTTGGAGAAATTTACCTCTGCATTTAACCCATCACCTTGGGGAGCAGTGGGCACCCAGGGAGCAATCGGAGGTTAAGGGTCTTGCTCAGAGACCCAGAGTGGCAGTCTGTGGGAGTGGGGCTCGAACTCAGACCCTCTGGATTTCAAGTTCTATGCCAAGGGGTCATCGATTAAAAATTAGTGGGATCCAAATAAAGAAAATCATCAATTAGTAAAGATCCGGAGACATTTTTAACTATAATCTGTTACTTTAAACAGAATTTAACACTGAAATAAAATCAGGTTTTTATGCATCCATGTTATACATTGAATAATAATAATAAAAAAAGAAAATGTTTCCATTTTAAAATCTAAAGTGTTTTTCAAAGTAGAGAACAACAATCGTTCAGTTTGCAATATGGACAATTTCCTGATTCACATTTTTTTTAATAAAACATACTTAAACTGACTGTTTGCTATTTATTTTTTAAGGCTTAATGAGAGCAGTGGGCTTTAGGCTGCCCTGCAAGGCTTTAAACCCGTGTTTGAATGGAGACAAAGCCATTCTCAAGCCATTCCAGGTTCATTCGTGAGCTTTTATACCCATTCCCCAAAACTAAGACTGTTTAATTAAATGATTGGATGCAAACTATTGGTACTTCAACATACCAGGAAGCAGATTTCTCATCTTGATCAAAATATTTTTTTTATACTAAGAGGCGTAAAAGTTTAATCAAATCCAGTCAAAATGCCATGGAGCGCCTCTCACAACTTCCAAAGAAACGTCTCATCTCAGGCCTGGATGAAGAGATGCTGGGTTTGGATGCAGAGAACAAACATAGGTCATGCAAACCATGTATGATCCGTACGATCCCTGTTACAAAAATCCACAACAAAACAGAAATATTTGGGCAGAAACTGAACATATGCTGGCTGGATGATGGTGGGGATTTTTTTATCATGTCATATTAAATTAAGCATTCATTTCCGCATGTTTTGCTCCTGAATTTAATAACAAAGTCGCGCAGTCCCTGAGCCCAGAGGAAGTCTGAGTGGAGCAAGACGGGAGGAACAGCGGAGGCTGTAGGCTTTCCTTTGCAGAGGATGTGGGATTTCAGGGTCAATATGTAATCAGACAACATACAGTAATTTATAAATGTTTTAAATCAGGTTTTAGTCAGCAGGTGGGTCCTGATCCTGACAGTGATCCGCTAATCAGTGACCTCTGTTCTATGCCCTGACCACTAGGCCTCCACTCCCCCGTATTAATGTTGCCCTTTTCTTATTTGTATTGACTGCAGGCTCGGACTGGTAATCTGTGATACCGGGCATTTGCCTTATGGTTCCGGTCCTAATTTCATACCGGCCCCAACACTTATTCTATGGACGAAGCACCTACCTGTGACAATAAATAACTCAAGGAGCTCAAGAAGAAATTCAAAGTCAACTACCAAAATGATGCATGCAGTATATTTAGCCCTTCCTTGTCATGCACATCCTTGTGACGGTTGGCATATAGTGTAATTTTCTATTTCTTCAAACTGTAAACTAAAAGCTTTCTTTGATCCAAACTACGATGTTCCTCTCATATTTGGCAAATTTATGTTGGAATATTTTGCAAAAATATGTTGCGGTGCATGATGGGGTTTTGCATCGGTTTACATTATTCCATATCATTGCCCACATGCCACCTAGACTTGCAGTGAATGCTTACACACCGCTGAGCTTTCATGGATTCATTCTTGAAGAACTGCCTGTCTGCTTCTATATTGTATTGTTTTATGTTAGTGTTTTTTACAACACTCAGGCTTATGTTGTAGACCTAGTATGTGTGAGTGAGTGTCCGGCTGACTTTGTGCAAATGTGGACGTTGCGCAGCAGCAGTTACTGTTGCGTACTGTGTTAATAACCAAAGCCAGTAAAACCGCATTATAGAAGTCTTGGTGATGGTTGTCATGTGATGCTTGAAGTGAATAATCCTGGTCCAGAAAATAAAACCCTGCCTACTTCTCCTTCATCCTGCCCACTTAACCAGGAGTTGGATCTCAGTTTATTTGGAGGAGCAGGAAATGTAAATGTTGGGAACTAATATCAGTACAGGCTTTTTACATTTTGGACTATCCAATTCTCCATACGACAGGTTACCTCTCCTAAAACCCCTTTGGCATTTTGTTTAACATCCTTTATTCTCTAGAAAATAGGTTGATCATTATTTATCATTCTTTCTATAACCAAAGATATATGAATTAATGAGAGCTACAGCTTTAAAGCTCCCTAGAGTTAAAGGATCTTTCCCTTGTTTCAGATCCTCAGATCAGAAAATTCCAGAATTGTTTTAGATGTTTTAATCTAATCTTTATTCAGCAGAGCAGATATTTTACTAGTTGCACAATAACTGCTTTTTAATCAATATTTTATTGTTTTATTTCACTAGTTGTAAAATTTCGAGATTCTGTATTTTCTTTAATCTATTTTAATCCTGAGTCTAACCAGGGACAAGAGCTGCAAATTATTTTTTATTTAAAACCTGTTCACATGGGATCTACTATTTTTATTAAACAATTTTTTTATGCATTTTTAGCATTTAAATGAAAAAAAAAAATCATTCATAGGGAAGCAAGGGTTGTACCAATGTTAGCTAAAAAGGTTGCTCTTTGATATAGGAGCCATACTCCAAAGCCACGTTACAATTTGTAAATGCATTAAAGGACAAAGGCAATAATGTTGATCCAACCTCATCTGGTTTATTGCACCACTGAACATTTGTCCAACATACAATTTCATATGCAAAAGCTTTAATCACAGATTTTAACACAAAAAAGTTTGTCCATGGCTGTATTATAAATACGTGTTAAAAAGTGCTGCTTTGGCCAAAGTGCAATCCATAAAGTTATAGTATAGTGGCATCAAAAATAAAAACAACATTGCAACAAAAACATGATAAAACATAGTAAACATCAAAAAAGTGAAATCAAATGCTGGAATAAAAGTCATTAAATTAAGATTTCAATTAGGACGATATGTAAAAAAAATCCTAAAAAACAACTTGTGGATTAACACAAAACATGGAAGAGACAAAAAGAAGCAAACATTAGATTCAAACACCCATGAATGTGGAAAAGGGTGCAATGATGTTAGACGAATACGCTAGAGTATATTGCAGGCTGGTATTGATAATACTATTCTGATACTTTGAGTCAATACCCCTAATGAGTAGCAGCAACAGAACCAGAAACGGACCTCTCCTCTTTTGTCCACAACATAGATTCAGAGTATTCTGTTCTGTGGTTTTACTAGAGGTGTTTCACAACACTGTGTTGCCCTAACTTGTTTTTTCTACAGACATCATGGGTCACATCTACGGTCTGTGGTGCAAAAATATCAATAAACTTTGTCAATAAACTTCATTCCAGAGTCTACATCTGAGTGAAAGTGACCGAGCAGACACATTAAACACTCACCAGATGGAAGGAAAAAATATCTTAATCGAAAGTATTTGGATTCGATTTTCCAGCCTAAAGTGCTTTATTATTTAAGAGTCTACTGAATTAGAGCCATTTAAAATAACTCAAACCTCTGTGTGTGAAGTTTTAGTATCATGAAGAGCTTTAAAATCTGAATCATTTTAAGGAACATGTCTGCATTTAACAAGTAATGGCACTGCATAAAAACAAGGTTTTCAAAATTATTGAGAGGGAAGGAAAATTCTAAATAGACCCATTTTTGTTCCCAGCTGCCTTAAAAGTTCACTGTACATATTTATCAAATATTTAAGTTACATAAAAAGGCTGCAATAGTTTGCGGACAATCAGAGTGGCATTCTGTTATTGAGGGCAGAAGGAGGTAACCCTGAGAGAATCCTATTTACTGACAAAAAAGCACCCCTAGCAGCAAGAATTAATAAAGTTATGTTTAAACTTGAAGATAATAGAGATCTAAAGTGCAAATCTATGGTTATTAATATATATTATTTTAATATTTTAAAATAATGTTACAATTCCAGCACAAATGGAATATCTATGCTTACTTCTTTCTTCCAACTCAGAGCCAAGGAGCTAAGTGCAATGTTTTATCAAAAAAGATTTCTTAATAATAAAGTTTTGATTTATTTCAGTCCCATATTTTCAAAGTGAACGTTACGAAGATCAGCCTTGTCTGATCATGTGGTGACATGACGCAGGGAGTGAAGGCAATCGAGGATTGAGAGCCTATCTTGTTCGGTGCACATGGCTGTGAGGGGAATCGGCTCTGACTTTGTCTCAGATTTGCTGAAGAAGGGGCATTTGTTCATGTGGTCTGATACACTGGGAACATCAAGAAAACCCCAAGAATGCACAGGAGTGACTGAAGGGCTGAATTTCCACACCTGCAACAATAAAATGGAATGATGTGAGTTCAATAATGTTCAAAAAAAAAAATAAAAAATATGATCATAGTGAATTCCGTGGTCTAACTTATAGTATAGTAATTATCAAAGATCTACACAGATATTGTTTTAAACTCACTTTGTTTTTCACCTGCCACCTAAAATCGTGCGGACGACCAGGAAAATGTCCTCTCTCCCACTGCAGCTCTACTATCCCCCTTGAAGGGAGGAGACTGGCACACACTTCCCTCATAGTCCTGGACACCAAGGACAACTGGCATAAGCTAAAACTGTCCAGGAATCCAGCTATGTGCCACAGTATCTCAATGGGCAGCCCGCTGAACTGATCCGGTCTGGAGCCTATCGGAGATGTCAAACTGATGCAAGGCTGGATCACAAATGCTTTGAGCTGCTTATGATAAACCACTCTGGCCCCCTGGGCAGATGGGTACAACCTCTGCTGTGAAAACCTACAGCCGTACATCGCCAGGGGGCAGCGGGACTCTATGCGGTCACAGAAGTTGGGGTGAAAATCGCAATGAATGTTTCTATAATGAGAGGAAAACTGGTCACGACGGAGCGACTGACCACACACAACGGGAGAAGTGCGAGGAATGTTTCTAAAGGTTTGCGTGCCAAAATGAACACGGTAATCAGTGTAGACAGTGTCAGAGATTCCTCTACAGTCCTTGTGTGTTTCTGAACAGGCGAGCAGGGCAGCTGAAACCGAAGAAATCTCTGTTTGAACTTTGTGTTTCAAATCCCATGTATCCACTGCTTTGTCTTCCATATCAGCTCCAAGTCTGTATTCGGATTGTCCATTTGATAAAGGACTTTGGCCATGGCCCTTATAGGGACAGTTGAGCTGATGCATCATCTTAGGCTTAAGATTTCCAGGATGAAGCATCACTTCATCGTCCAAAACTAAACGACCAGCCACACCCTGGCTGACATGTACTGGTAATATCATTTGAGGGGTTTTAGGTGCATTTGAAATACTATTCCTGGATTCTGTTTCTCCAATCAGTGGTCCACAGGTTGTGTTTTTATTCAGTGTATCAGTACTTCCATCGTTGTTCATAGACATTTTTAAAAGGACATCCCTTTCATACTCGTCATGTAAGTTGCGTTCAGCAGAGTTGGTGCTACTAACAATGTTTAAACCAGCAGCTGAGCTTCTAGCAGTCTCAGCTTTGGCTTTAAATAGCTCATTGAAAGAATTAATTTCACTGACATCTTCCTCTGTTTGGAGTCCTTTGGAAATTGACTGTGAGGAGGAAAACTGTAAGGTTGAATCATGAGTAGAGGGTGCCTTTAAAGCTAATTGTATCGCTTTACGCTCTTTATCAATGACAGGATCTTCGCGAGCTAAATCTGTCATCCCAAGCTCCTCTATTGTCTCAAAGAGTGCCTGACAGTCCTCCAGAGCTATTCCTAGGTATCTATGGTGCCTTATTTCCTCCAACATACTCTCAACATCCCGGTCAGGTCGGGAATCCAAGAGGCAAGCAGGATGCAAGTTCCAGCTCTTTGTGCAAAAGACAACCCCAGCTGGACATACATCCAGGTGTGCAGGGATTTTGTTACGGCTCAGAATAGCCGGGCAGCCGTAGTTGCTATTGGGGCATTGCACCTTCATAAGTGGGCAGAGTAGTTGGTGCTCATCAACTTTGCAGGAATGAAATACAGCCCCGCACAACAGGGGACAATTGAAGAAATCACAAGAAAATCCTGGTTCAGGTTTGACGATGCACCTTTGATTGATACAGGAGATGCAGTGAGCATGCTGCTCCATCTTCACAACCAAGAGGTGGATCCCTTTCTGCAAAAATAAAAATAAAAGTCTAATATGATGTAGATCAAAAGATGTAAGACTTGCAAATATATGAATAATCTGAAGAAAATGAGAGAGATCAAGATTAATAAATGCAAACAGAACAATCAAGCAATTGGGGTATTCTTCTGTGGTTTGATTTGATCTGAAAATTAAAAATTTTTTAACAACAACCACCATGTCCAGAGATTAAGAACTTTCATTAATAAATAAAATATAGTTAAACCTCTTCTCTAAATAGGGCTATTATGGTTCCTTAAAGTTAAGCGCATATTTATAGTAGCTGAGACAATAAAGTTTGTAAAAACATTAATAACCCAAAAGGTTCCATTGTAACCATAAGCTCTGCAACAAGTTATTTAGCAACACATTTTAAAACACAATTTGTTAGTGTTCCACTCTTTAGTTTTCGTTTTTTTTTTCTGTGTTAAAGTTCAGTAGAGATTGAGGGTTGCTAACGGTGGCTAAAAACAGCTAGCTCTGTTGGAAGCTGGGAATTTTAAAATAAACAATTTTTTTCTGTCAAACTTTTAAGCAATCTAAGGTTTCCTTACCTCAACTTGTTTTCATTGGGAAAAGCGTGTCACGACGTATTAAAATGTTTCTACATAAACATGACAAACCCGTGTTTACCATGGTTTGTCCCGGAACTGCCCCTTCTTCCTCTTCTTCTTCTTCTTCTTGGTAGAGATTTTGTGCTGGTTGGCAGAAAACGAAAAGCGCGCACGACCGCCACCTATCGATATGGAGTGCTGAATTCCTGCTAAACAAATTTGTTAGTTTAAAAAAGGTAACCAAAATCTTTATAATTTTTCTTTCTAAATATTTCTGCATGTTTATGACATTTAGTTTTTCTTGTATATTCTTCTTGTATATATTTCTATTCCATATCTCCCACATTCTAATATAAAAATGTTCAGTTGTTTCTATTTGTCCACAATGTTAGCAACTTCCCGTATTATGTTTATTGATTATATATATTCTATAATGAAGTCCTGTGTGGGCAAACCTTAGTGTTGTTATTCATTTATCCTCCTCCAGTATCATTTTCTCCATTCTTCACTTTCCTAAACTCTTCCTTGGTATTAAATTAAATTACACAATTTAGATTT